TCATGGTGGATTTTGGTCTTCACACTTGCCCACCCCGAGGAATGTTCTAAACTGGAGGTCTTCGACCAGCCTGCAAACCCCAAGGAATGTTCTAAACAAGCGACCTCCAAGTCAGACTATACCACTTACATTCTGTCATCCAAATTATGCCAACATTCCAATCATAAGAAAATGTGCGATAAAGCGGGTGAAATCAGAAAAATCACTGAATTTCATTGATTTTTAACAAACTTTGCAATCTACATCATTGTTCTAACCTCCCAGGCTTCTTAAAAAAACGAAAATTTTCAGACATAATATTTTTTCAGATTAGCTATGTTCCATGACCGGGCAAGTGATCGGCCTTCGGCATCCTTGAGTGAGTACACTCCTCTTGCGTGCAATCGCTCGACCAGGTATGGCCCTTCCCAATTTGGCTCCAGCTTTCCCACATGCTTGAGTACATCGACACGCTTCCAAACTAGGTCACCGACCTGGAGTCTGTGAATTTTCACCTTTTTGTCATGAGCGGCTCGCATCCTCTGCTTGTACGCCTCCACCCTGATTGTTGTTCTCCCACGCAGCTCCTCGATAGTATCTAAGGCCACCATCATCAGATCCTCGTTCTGTTCAGCATTATACGTGCTCGACCTCTGGGAAGATAACTCGATCTCGACCGACAGCAATGCTTCCATTCCATAAGCTAAACTGAACGGGGTTTCTCTTGTGGTCGACCTTGGAGTTGTGCGATACGCTCAAAGTACGGAGCTCAGCTCATCGACCCATGCTCCCGAGGCCTTCTCCAACTTTGTCTTCAGCCCATTCAGTATAATTCGATTGGTTACCTCGACCTGGCCGTTAGTTTGTGGATGTGCCACGGAGGCAAAGTGTTGTTCGATTTTCATATTTTCACACCATGCTCGAATCCGCTTTCCATTGAACTTAGTGCCATTGTCGGAAATCAACACTTTGGGTACACCAAAATTGCAGCAAATGTTATTGTATAGAAATTTAATTACTTTCTCCTCTGTAATCTCCGCTAAGGGCTCGACCTCCACCCATTTCGTGAAATAATCGACCGCCACTATTAAGAACTTCCTTTGCCCGGTCCCCTGAGGCATCGGCCCCACCAGGTCGATACCCCACTGGGCGAATTAGTATAAGAGCACTCATCGTTGTCATGGCTTCGGCCGGTTGGTGGATAAGGGGGACATGCTTTTGGCATTGCAAGCACTTCTTCACCATCGCCTTCGCATCTTCTCTCATCGTCGGCCAAAAATATCCTGCCCTCAAAATCTTCGCGACCAAGGCCCCTGACTTGCTATGATCACTGCAACACCCTTCGTGCATCTCTCTTAGCACGTATCGACCTTCTTCCTTAGTAACACAACGCAAATGTGGTCCTCCATATGATCGTTTGTAAAGAATGCCTCCATGCTAAAAAAACCTCCTAACCACCTTTATCGCTCCTCCTCTCAGCTCCTCCAAGATCGGGGCCCTACAATCCTCCACTTCTTCGATCTCTGCCACTTCTACTTCGACCACACTCTTTTCAAGATGCAATAGAGTGACACTTCTACTCTTGCAATCAACCAAGCTCTGAGCAATCTTCGACAATAGGTCTGCCCGACCATTCTCTCCTCGAGGAATTTGTATTAGTTCGAACGAATCAAACTCCTCTCTCAGCTTCTTCATCTCATCCACATATTTTTGCATCCGATCCTCTTTGACTTCAAACCCTTCTTGAAATTGCCCAACCACCAGTTAAGAATCGGAATGCACTTGTAATTTTCGAGCTCCTCCCGCTTTGGCTAGACTCAAGCCCTTAATCACTGCCTCATACTCAGCTTCGTTATTGGATATCTTGAACCCCACTTTAGCCGAAAATTCTATGTAATCGCCTTTGGGAGAGACAAGGACAATTCCCAATCCTGCCCCGCTTCGGGCCACAGATCCATCCACAAACAACTGCCATAACCCCTCTAACTCCTCCTCGACTTTCGTGCCTTCCTGGATAAAATCAGCCAACACCTGTGCCTTTATGGCCCTCCTTGGCTCGTATATCAAAGAATACTCACTCAATTCGACCGCCCATTTTACCAATCGACCAGAGACTGATGGCCGACCAAGTGTTTCTCCCAGCGGCATATTCGTTCGCACCTTCACCTTATGATTCAAGAAATAAGGTCTTAACTTTCGAGCAGTTACAACCACAGCTAAAGCACACTTCTCAATCTCCGAATACCTCGTCTCGGCCCCCTGCATCACTCTACTCACATAGTAGATAGAAAATTGCGCTATTCCTTCCTCCCGTAATAACACCGAACTCACAGTCCTCTCTCCAATAGAAATGTATAGCACCAGCTTCTCGCCCTGTATGGGTTTAGCCAATAAGGAAAGGTTGGCCAGCAACCCTCGCAACTCCTCGAATGCCTTATGTGCCTCCTCCGTCCATTGGAATTTCGCACTCTTCTTCAACGTTTTGAATAATGGGCCGCTCTTCTCCGCCACCTTCGATATGAAACGACTCAGCCCCGCAATTCGACCAGCTAAGATCTGCACCTCTTTAACATTCGTCGGCGACTTCATCTCCATCACAGCTCGAACCTTCTCCGGATTGACCTCAATACCTCTCTTGGTCACCAAGTAACCCAAAAAATTTTATAACCTCACCCCAAAAGAGCATTTAGCAGGATTCAACTTCATCCCATACCTTCGTAATGTTAGGAACGTTTCTTTCAGATCTCGTACGTGATCCAACTCCTCCTTACTTTTCACCAACATATCATCCACATACACCTCCATGTTCCTCCCCAGTTGTTCCTTACAGATTTTATCGACCAACCTTTGATACGTGGCGCCCGCGTTCTTTAGGCCGAACGGCATGACCACGTAACAATAGGTCCCTCGACTCGTTACGAAACTCACCCGCTTCCTGTCCTCTCTCGCCAAGGGAATTTGATGGTATCCCTGGGAGGCATCCATCAGGCTCAACAGCTCGCACCCTGCCGTCGAGTCGACCAGCGGGTCAATCCTGGGCAGTGGATATAAACCCTTTAGGCATGCTTTGTTCAGATCACGGAAATCGATGCACATCCTCCATTTTCCTTCCACCTTCGACACCATCACCGTGTTTGACAACCATTCAGGGAACTGGATCTCCTTTATATGCCCCGCTCCCAACAGTTTCTCGACCTTCTGCTCAATGATTTTATCCATCTCTGCCCCATGGTGCCTTCTTTTCTGTTTCACCGGCCTCACTCTGAGGTCGATGTTTAGCCGATGTTCGATCACCTCCGCACTTATCCCCGTTAATTCCTCTGCTGTATAGGCGAAAATGTCAGCGAACTCCCTAACCAGATTGATCAGCCTCGACCGAATAGGCTCCCCTAGATCCTTTCCAATTCTGAACTTTCTCCCTTCTCACCCCTCGATCATCTGAATCTTCTCGACTTCTCCCCCTGGCTGGATATCTATCTTCTCCTTGCCCTTCTCTGCTTTCTGCTTATCCTCCTTTGACCTCGATCCTCCTGGTTGATTAATCTCCTCCCCGGACTGGGCCTGCCTCCTCGCCAGCTGCTTATTATTGCTAACCGTCGTTTGGTAGCAGCTCCTCGAGGTGAGCTGGTTCCCAGAAATCTCCCCTACGTTTTCGCCCACCGGATATTTAATCGTCATGTGGTACGTGGATACGACCGCCTGGAACGCGTTCAAGCTCGTCCGCCCCATAATTATGTTATAAGATGATTCAGCCCCTACGACCACAAACCTTACCATGCGCACCTTCCTCAGTTCGCCCACTCCAAGCGCCACTGGCAAACTCACCTCGCCCATCGACATCACCTCTCCCCCATTAAAGCCATAGAGTGCCGTGGTCACCAGTTTCAACTCCGCATTCAACTCCTTGTTAATCTGCACAAAACAGTCATAGAACATCACATCTACCGAACTCCCGGTGTCAATGAACACCCTCTTCACATCGAAGCCTGCAA